TCTGTGAGGTCCCAGCACCTCAATGAAAAGCAAGATTCAAGCCCAGCCAACCTAGTGGTGCATCCCTGTCATCCCAGTACTTGAGAAGTGAAGATAAGAGAATCCAGATCTACAAGTACAAGCATGTGTACCCAAATTTGAATTTTCAAAACAGCACTGTTCATGATTCATCTACTTGTGAATGGAAGACTAATATGTGGCATCTACATAAGAGAATTATTGAAATATTTGATTTTTATGTATATGTATGTTTATGCGTCTGTATGAGCCTATGCCAGAGCCTGTAATAACATAAGAGAGCATTGGGGGCCCTGGAGCTAGAGTTACAGGTATATGTGACCCTTCTGATATGGGAGCCGGGAAGCAAATTCAGATCCTCTGCGACAGCAATACAAATGCACTTTAAGCCCTGGAAAGTCTCTCCAGTTCCCTGTGTATAGGTTTTTAAATGATATGATGATAATTTTATAGTATGTTGAAAGATTTCAAACATGCCAACGTTAGAGAAATGAAAATTAAACCTATATTGAGATTCCATTCAATTCCACAAAGAAAATAACAAATGCTGATGTTTGCAGGAAAATGGATACAACTGGAGATAATCATATTGATGAATTAAGCCATTCTCAGAAAGACAAATTGCATTTCTTCCCTCATTGGGTTTTTCAAATGTTATATAGATATATCAAATTGTGTATATGTACATAAAAGTAAAAGTGAAACAATCTAAGGACATATAGGGGCCTAACAGGAGGAGAGGACTGAGAAAAGGGAGGTTAGAAGGTACGGAGGGACATGCCTAACATGCGATATATACTTTATAAAAACTAAAAAAAAAAAAAAAAAGTATGGCTAGGGACTGGAGAGATGGTTCAGAAGTTAAGAGAACTGGCTGCCTGTCCAAAGGTCCTGAGTTCAGTTCCCAGCAATCACATGGTGGCTCACAACCATCATGCAAGTGTACATGCAAATAGAGTATTCATATACATACATAAATAAATCTTACAAAATGCTGGCTAGGCTGTGGAGAAAGAGGAAACCTTACATACTGCTTGTGGGAATGGAAACTAGTGTAGCCACTATGGACAACAGTATGGTGGTTCCTCAAAAACCAACAATGGAGACGCAAAACTAAAAATAGAATATGACTCAGCTATACAACCCCGGGGAGTTACCCAAAGCAATCTAAGTACATAGACCATAGAGATACTTGCACATCCACGCTTATTCGCAACAGCCAGGAAATGGAGGTAACCTAGAGGTTCATTAACAAATGAATGGATAAAGAAAAAATGGTATATGTACATTCCCTTTGAGCAGTTAGTTGAACTGCTTGCATTAAAATGTCTATAGTAATATCCACTCTTTTTTAAAATATTTTTTTTCTTTTTAGAGCTTATGTATGATGAAGATGATGATGGTGTGTATGTGATGTGTATGCATGAATGAGTGAGGGTACACGGTCAGAGGACAACTTTTAGTAAGTCTGTTCTCCCCTTCCACTGTAGGGTTGGGATTCATGGATTGAGTGAAGTTTGTTAGGTCTGTGTAGGATGCACCACTGCCTTCTGAGCTATCTCACCAGCCCAACAAAATATTGTCAGTGCAATCTTATGTCTATGGTATCCTTGTTTTTTTCTTTTTGTTTGTTTGCTTTTCGTTGTGTATTTTGAGGAAGTACTAGAAAAAGAAATTAAAACCTCATGATTTTATTCTTCTTCATGGCTGAAAAATATTCCTGTGTGTATAAGTGCCACATTTTGGTCACCCATTCATCCACACTGATGGGCTTGACTTCACATCTTGGCTCTTGTGAATAGTACCAAGATAAACATGTGTGTGCAGGTGTCTTTTTTTGGGAGGGAGGTCCTTTTTATAATTTCTATTTTTTTATATTAATCACAGGTTATATACTTTGTGTACCAGCCATAGCCCCTTCCCTCATTCCCTCCCAATCTCACCCTCCCTCCCTCATCTCCTCCCTGCCCCTTTCCAAGTCTACTGATAGGGGAGGTCCTCCTCCCCTTCCATCTGACCCTAGTTTATCAGGTACGTTCAGGACTGGCTGCTCCTTCTTTGGAGCGGGAAGGAGGTCAAAGAGCCAGCCATTGAGTTCATGTCAGAAATAGTCCCTGTTCCCCTTACTAGAGAACCCACTTGGATAATGAGCTACCATGGGCTACATCCGAGCAGGGGTTCTAGGTTATATCCATACATGGTCCTTGGTTGGAGAAACAGTCTCATAAAAGACCCTTGTGCCCTGATATATTTGGTCCTCGTGGAGCTCCTGTCCTCTCCAGGTCATACTAACTCTCCCTTCTTTTGTGTGATTACCTGCACTCTGCCGAAGGTTTGGTTATGAGTCTCAGCATCTGCTTTTATACACTGCTAGGTAGAGTCTTTCAGAGGTCCTTTATGGTAAGCTGTTACTTGTTTTCTTCTACATCCAATGTCCATCCCATTTGTCTTTCTAAGTGAGGATTGATCATCTTACCCCAGGTCCTCTTTTTTATTTATCTTCTTTACGTATACAGATTTTAGAATGTTTATCCTATCTTTAGGTCTAGTATCCACTTATATGTGAGTATATACTATGTGTGTCTTTCTGCTCCTGAGATACCTCACTCAGGATGATCTTTTCTAGATCCCACCATTTGCTGTGCAGGTGTCTTTATTGTATACTGACCTTGATTTTTTTGAGTAGAGAGTCAAAGGGGGATGTTTTTCAAAAACTGTCATTTTGAATTTAGTTTTTAAAGGACCTTTCATACAGATTTCCATAGTTCAAATGTTTGCCACATCTGAGGGTTGGCATCAACTAATTTTCTAGCCTGGCTCTGAGATTTCAAATATAGGACACTTCAAGAGCTTTTGTCTTAAGCTGTGTCCAGAATCCATGTATTTTGTGAATCCAATCTGTGAAGTAAAGGCAACCAGAGCTAATGTGAGCTGACACTATTATTGTCCTACCAAAGCTTCTCACATATGATTCCAGTGGTCAGACTTCATCTTCCAGCCTTTACTCCATTTCTGACCCAGGGTAATTATTTTGTGAATGCACCAAAATGGGTATTCAGCACATAAGGAAAAGTTGAAAAGATCTGTCACTCATCTAGCCTTGTAAAAGGCCTATTTTTTCCCTTGAGGTATGTGTGTGTGTGCACATGGGCATTTCGGTGTACATGCGAGTGTACATGTTGGAACCATAGATCCATGTGTTACATGCCTTCCCGGGTCACTCTCTGCCTTATAATTCACTGTTCTCCTGAACTAGCTAGCGAGTGAGCTCCAGGTTTCTGCCAGCTCTGGGGTTACAGACAGGCACGTCCATTCCTGACCTGCTTTTGTTTACATGGGTCTTAGAGATCCCAACTCAGGTATTCATAATTGTGTGGGAAACGTTTCGCCCACTAAACCACCTTTTCAGCCCTGTAAAGACTTACTCTGATGGGAGATACCATTCAGTTCTTTTTCTTTTTCTTTTCTTTTACAAACATAAAACAAATCTTATTCACTCAAATTATTAAATGATCTGCCACACAGATCACAGCAAGTGTTAGGTTCCTTACCATCGTCTGTTGCTTACTTATTTGACTTTCTGAGACTTGTATCCACCAGCCCCCAAGCAGTAGCACAGTTTGGAGGAAACATTAATTAAGTGGACAGTGGGAGAAAATATAAAGGATAAGTGAAAAAACAACTGGGGGTAACTTGATAACAACCTGTCAAAGAATGAGACTACTTCCATATCTCTCACCTGGAACAAAAAGAAATTTAAAAATTGACCAAAACTTCAGTGTAAGACTGGAAACTCTGAAACTGTTAGGAGGAAACACTGAAAAATAAGCAAGCACTTTCTATGAAGTACTCACATATGCCAGGAAATTAAGCAAGAAGTGGCATGTGCAATTACAGAGATATTTTTTTGTTGTTGTTTATTTTTCTTTGTTTTTAAAGCAAGCAGCCTTCTACACTGCAAAAGAAAAGGAAAAAAACAAAAAAACGGAACAAAGAGTCGCCTACAGAATGGGAGAGAAATCTTCTCCAGAATGTCAAATAAATGTTTCCTAAAAGCTCTAAAAGTGCGGTTGTTCAGGAGCCACCGTAACATTCGTATCTTTTCTTTTTTGTTGTTTTCTTTCAGATATGGGTCAGTATCGTTCTCTGGTATTCCACTTGCTGCTTGGTGTCTGCTTGTCTACCATATAGTTGACCTCCATGCTGGCCTGGCTAAAATGACAACCTCTCTGTTATTTCTCGTCTCTTTGTCTATCCTCTCCTCTCTCTCTCTCTCTCTCTCTCTCTCTCTCTCTCTCTCTTCTCTCTCTCTCTCAACTTCCTCCTCCCTGCAGCCAGTGAGATTTACAGCTTGCCTGCCCTGTGATTTTTCTTTTTAAGTCTAAGAAGATTTTCTTCAAGCTTCAAAAAATAAAAACTCATTAAACTTAACCAATGAAGACATAACAAAATAAATAAATGGACACATTATCCAAGTAAACACTTTCCAAAAGGAGAAGCACAATATTGAAAATTTAAAGGGAAAAATCAATATTTGGCCACCAGAGAGGTGAAAATCAAAACTGTATTGGGATTTCCATGTCACCCTGACTCAGATGGTTCTCATCAAGAAAGCAATAATTGAGCTGGGCTGTGGTGGCACACGCTTTTAATCACAGCACTCAGGAGTCAGAGGCAGGTAGGGTCTCTGTGAGTTTGAGACCAGCCTGGTCTATAGAGCAAGTTCTAGGGAAGGCAGGGCTACATTGAGAAACTTTGTCTTGAAAAATCAAGAGGGAGGGAGGGATACAGAACAACAACTAATGCTAGCATATATAGGAAATGGCTGGAACAATCAAGTCATGGAACAATGAACTCAGTCTTAGCTTATAGGACAGAGATGATCAAGAGTTGACCTGGAGACCTTGGATTCCCAGAAGAAGTCCTCCTGAGTAAGGTTTTCACTGCAGAACAGTTGAGCTGGGGTACAGTCAGGACATTACCTGTGCTGGGTGAGCACACTGACAGCTGAAGGATGATTTGCACAGTAAGCCAGGTACATCGATTTAAAATGAGGCATGAGGTTCAGTAGGCAGCCTCCTACTTTGTGCTGGTTTTCTGGAAACCTGAAAGGAAAACATATCAGGCAGAGCATATAACAGAAGGTAAAGTGATTTGTAATTGAGCCCAGAAGCAGGTAAATCTTTTGATGTCTGTAATGGGATTAATTTATTTTCTGGGACAATGTGTTGAAACTATAGCATATACATAAATATAAAGTGCACTTGTGCCTGGTCTAACCTCATAATCCCAATAGGTGAGAGGTGGAAGCAAGAACATCAGAAGTTCAAGGTCAGCTTCTACTATATAACAATAAATCTGTTGCATTAGTGGATGATGAAGCCATGGAACAATGAACTCAGTCTTAGCCTATAGAACAGAGATGACCTGGAGACCTTGGATTCTGAGAAGAAGTCCTCTTGAGCAAGTTCAAAGCCAAACTGGTCTATGTGATACACTGTCTCAAAAATCAATTAATCATTAAGTGTAGAAGGAAACAGCAAAGTCACTGCCTCACTTACTTTGAACATTCTTCCAGGGCTTGGCAGAGTGTCTGTTGAAATGTGCATACTTCTTCAAAGTTTCCCAATAAACATGTAAACTCCGCAGAACTCAGGCTGATTTAATAATAAAAAAAGGACATAAAGTTCCAGTTAATAGAATGGAAGATGAGTCAGGTATCTAGTTGGAGTCCAGTTAGCTGATAGCTTGCTGATATCTGGCAAGAGTGAGAGAAGGCAAAATGCTGGTGTTTTACCTTCTGCTTTTTCAACTTAAAACCACTCTAATGTCTCTAGCACCCTTGTTTAGCCTCCTTCCTTGGTTCATCTTTTCTAAAATAATAATGATCCTAAAGAAAGTTGCTGGTCATCAGGGCCAGTTAGGCATTTGGTTAAGACACAAAGAAAAACACATGCCTAATATGAAAGTATAAAAATAGATGAAAATACCTGATTGGGAATAAGTTAAAATCTGTGGCATTATCTCCTCTACAGAAAAATGGGGAAGTGATTCAAAAGTATGTTCAACAAGTACAGTGGAGAAAGGGTAGCAAAAAGGGTAGGGAAAAGGTAGCTTTCTCTGACATGAAAATGTTCAAATAACAACTAAAAACATTCTTTATAAAACAGAATAAAAGGGAGAAAATAGAACTTGATTTTGTTATTGTTATTTGTGGGATGGAAAGGAGTCAAATAGAGGCAAACTGAATGTTTTATGCAGGGCCTCTACTGAGGAATGTTCCCTTCATTTTATCCTTCTAAACAGCAAGTAGCACTAAGAACGGGAGGCAACCCTTATGCGAATTATGAAGACATGGAACAGTCATGCAAACACTTTTCAAGTACAGGCTTCCGTTACTCCGTGAGCTATGTGCCATGGCTCTCTCCACTTTACAGGTGACAAAACATAGGCACAGGAGAAGGTAGTAAGCAAATCATCCATCATCAAAATGTAATGATGATCAAAGAATGGTTATCCAAAGCATTCTAAGTCTAGAGACCACGCTCTTAAGTACTTTGGGAAAGACACTTGTCTGAAGAGTCACTTAAGAGGTAGATTCTCCTTCCTTTGGAATATATAATCCTGGAAGGTGGAGATATAGCTCAGAGGCTAAGAGCTCTAGCTGCTCTTGCTCAGGACCCATGTTCATTCAGTTCCTACTACCCACATTGGGGCTGCTTACAACTGCCTGTAATTCAAGCTCCAGGGATCAGATGCCCTCTTCTGACTACTCCAAGCGCCTGTGCACATTGTAGCATACACTCACATAGATAAATATACATATACATAATTAAGAATTAAAAAAAGATAAATATGTTTTAAGAAATTAATTGTCAGCCCTAAATACATATGAGCAACAATAAATGGGTGCAAGGGACAGGGTGGCATCAGAAAGGAGAGAGGAATGAGTGAAAACACAGTACTCATGTAACAAACTGTTGCAGATATTAAAAAATTACATTTAAAATGCATATACAATCCTAAAACAGGTGTGGTAAGACACACCTGTAATCCTAGCACTTGAGAGGTGGATCTAGGAGGATCAAGTGTTTTAGCTTGAAGCTAGCCCTAAGCTACATGAGACAGGCTGTCTCAGAACACATTTTAAAAACATATACATCTCACATGTAATTCCTAGGGGCGATATTTGCAAAGGAGTTTTGCCGACTAACCCAAAAAGGGAAGATCCCAGTAAACATTCCCAGTAACCCTCAGAGCATGAAAGCTCCCCAATCGTCCCCTCTTCAGCTGCAAACTGGAAACTCCCATCTCTTGTTGTCTAAGAGGACCCTGGCCAGATTCTCTGTGTGCTTCTCTGTCATAGCCACAACAAGGAGGGTCTCTAAACTTTCTGTATCCTGCCTGGGGAGGTATCTAATCTTTTTGTTATCAGACAGTACACAGTCTGGCTTGTTCAAATCATTATGAGAGGACAGTCAGAATCAGTGGAAATCCCCTAACTCCAGTATGAGTAGCAAACTGAGGATGAGGACAGCTCTGACTTCAACTTTACACCTCCTACCCTTGTTTCGGGATTGCAAGTCATCATCTTCTGAATGTGAAATCTCCTTTCCAGGATGACCACCTCAGTGGTCTTCTTTTTTGCATGTCACAGCCGGAAAAGAGAAGGTACATTTCAGATAGTAAGTGGCAGGAGACATGGTAGAGCCAGTCTGGTCACTTGTCTGTGTGACAGGCAAAGCAGTGAACTTGTCCAGACTTTGCTTTCTTATCTACTCAACAGAGACTGTCAGTTCTCCCAGGAAACTAAAAATGGTGATATGCTGTATTTCCTATAGCACTCTAAGAACTGTGAGTAACATAACACTTCACATTTCACATAATAAAAGCCAAATGAAGGAATAGAAAACCCTTCCAAAGGAAAAATGCTTCCCATGGTGCCATGAGAACAGTTAAGTCAAAATTTAGCATGTCATTGTGCCTAACCAACAGAATTTGAGAAAAAAAAGGGAGAAAAACAGTTAACTACATTAAACTTATTTAAGCCTGAAGTTAGAGGTTAGACATACTTTTGCAAAAGTCAGCTTTTCCTAAAGTAAGAGGAGAGGATTTTTCTCTTCCACTGTATGAGCTAAAGTTTCTATTTCACTTACAGATCATGATCACTAGCAAAATTTCATCAATTCAAGTAACAAATAAGGGTAGTCATTATTTGTTAAATATGCTATCTCTATAAGCATAAAAAATAAATGGTCAATATTTTTAAAAATATTTAATACAAATATAATTATATCATCTCCTTCTTTCCCCCCCCTCCAACTTACCCCTTCTCACCTACTCCCCCATTTTTTTTTTTGATTAGTAGTGTTAACATATATGTTTCTTTCACAAAAACTCAGTGTTTAGCTCACACTTTAAAAAAAATCATTTCAGGTGTAGAACATTTTTGTACATTTTGCTTTCAGAAGTGCTTTTCCATTTCATTATCATTCACAAATGCCTGAACGAAATACTGGCTTGAATTGCCCTTCTAAACATTTGCAAAATGCCACACTCTTTCCCCTTTGGGAGCATGGTGCAAACAGACCTATTCCTTTACAGTGCACTGGAAATGTTGAAGCTAAAAGAGGGATCCCATAATCAACATGGACTTATATAGCAGGGCTCGTGAAAGGATCCTTTGGTTAATATTGCAGCCATGTCCAAAATAGCTAAGCAATGGGATCAACTCAAGTGCCCAACACTAGAGGAATGCATAGGGGATTTGCTATCTGTGTACAAGAAAATTTGTTTATTTATAAAGAAGAATGAAGATATGTGCAAGACAATGACTATAATTAGAAAAAAAAATCATGTTAAACAAAGCCAGCTTCAGGAAGGCGAATATCAGGTGTTTTGTGTGTGTGGTAAAAATAGAAGAAAAACTGTGTGGGGGAATGAGGGCAAGTAACAAGAGGGAGTAGAAAAAGAAAAATGAGGATAAGGGGGTGGGAAACTATGCTTAATACATAAAATATAAAATACTTGTATGAAAACTTTTTAGCTAAAAATATTTTTAAAGTAAATTTTATAGAAACAGAGGCTACAAGAGTGGTTACCAAAGCTTGGGAAGATAAAAAAGAAGGTGAGATGGAGAAAGGACAGCTAAGGAATATAGGAGTACAACTGGAAGTGTATACCATCTAAATATTCTACAGCACAGTAGGGTTTTTAGTGGTGCCAAAAAGTAATTGTATATTTCAAAACAGCTCACGGTTATTCCAATTACCCTGATCTGATCATTACACATTGTAGAGGTGTATTCAAATATCACATTCCATTCTTTAGGCATGTGCAATTGTTTAGTGGCAAGTGTTGAAGTTTTTTAATATAATGTACAAAAGAGGAAAAGGAAAAATATCCAATACACAAATTGTCACCAGCCAAATTTCGTATTAGCTATATTCCTTCCACAGAAAGCAAAGCCAAGCTCTCCAAAGGCAACATCTTGCATAATCACTGTGGCCTGACCATGTTCTTGGCAACCTGTGATCTGTGGAAATTCTTTTAAAGGGCAAAATAAATTATTCAGTGTAACACCTCCCAGTGCTGACATTATCTTGCTTTATTTCACTAAGGATTTAAAGAGTCTTACTTATTATTAGACTGCAAGGGTCTTAGATAAGTAACAAGAAGAGACTGGAGTTCTTTGGCATATTCTTTTTCAGTGTCCAAGATGTTCTGTAACACCTGTAGAGAAACAAGAATTAAGGTCTCATAACCATCAAGCAAGTCCAAGGTCAAAACAGAGCTTTATATATTTAAGTCAAATTCCTGGAAAAAGATGTTGCAGTTTACTTAGGATGGTGCTAGATGTAACACACACCAAAATGCAAATGTACTCTATTTCACACTAGAAAAATATTTTAATAATTATCTAACAGTTGTATCACATAACTCACATGCACATGATTATTATGAATTATCCACAACTGGAGGAGAGTTGCCACTTACATTGTGCTGGTCACATTTATGCTTTAAATAATTTGATCAAGGAAAAGGCTAGGTTAGCTAATAAAGACTCAGTATTCCCAGTTTATGAATAATAAAAGTATAAAACAGAGATTCAAAAGTAAGGCAATTCAAGGATAATTATGACACAAAACATCAAGAATTTGGTTGGTGTATTGTTTCTGATAAGATAAACTGATAGCATATAGTACATACTGAAGTGGGGCTAAAACTGGTCTTTCAGTAAAAACAAAGGCTTCTCTTATGAACACTTCAAATTAAAAAAGGAGACAGTACTATGAAGACTTTAATAATGAGAACAATTCACTAATTATCTGGTATTAATAACACAAAATCCTTTTTTTGTTCTTTCTTTGAGACAAAGTCTCACTCTAGTCCATAATGGCCTGGAACTCAGTATGTGGCCTAAATAGGCCTCAAACTTACAATAATAATCCGTTTGCTTCAGCATCTACAGTGCCAAAATTACATTGTCAATGTAAGACACTGTATCTAGCTAATAATAAAGTCTATAGACACAACAACCAGTGTATAACCCCACAAGTTGTCTTTTCCCACCAGTTCTAAGTTTATGTCCCACTTCTCAGCCTGTTCTGGAAGCAGGCACAACCTTCAATTCACGCAATTAAACATGACCAAGTTAATACTTTGCTATATATATTTTTCACATCTTCTAATTCACTGAACAAATATTCCCCATGCCAATGGCTATGCTGTTTACAGATAAAGAGCTTCCACCGTATCTGAAGATGGAGACATTAAGTAGGAACCTACAAGACAGAGAGAAACATGTGTGTCCAGGAGATGCACATTAGTCTACCAAAATGGCTGAAACACACACCTGATACTGTGTGTTTGTGCTTTTCACATTATATGGGTTATAAAGGGCTTCAATTTCCACAGAATTCAGCTAATTCCTGATTGAAAATATTTTTAAAATGTAACCTGAACTGAATATATATTGACATTCCCCCTTGTCATTATTCCTTAACTAATATGAAATAACACAAGCCTCTAATCCCAGGTACCGTTGGGCTTGATGGCCACCAGGCAACTTAGTCAGATCCAGTCTCAACATAAAAAGTGGAAAAAAAAAGACTGAAGGTGTAGTTCACAGATAGAGCACTTGCCCTAGCATGTGTGTGGCCTTAGGTTCAGTCTCCAGAATCACAAGTGAAAGTATAACAACCATTAGCCCAGTGAGGGGGTGAGTGCTTTTAATCCCAGCAACCGGGAAAGGGAAGGGCAGGTTGATCTCTGAGAGTTGGAGACCAGCCTGGTGTACAAAATGAGACCAGAACAATGAAGGCTACACAAGAAAACCCTGTCTTGAAAAACCAAACACACACACACACACACACACACACACACACACACACACACACACA